ATTATTCTTTTAGCATTTCTGGAAAGTAAAACTGAGCCACTGTGCCATCCAAAATATAAATAATGCAGCACTTTGTAAAATACATGTTCAAGATGTGTGACACACAGAGAGACTGAATTAACAATGAAAGCCTATTTAGTTATTGCAAAAAAGAACCCTGATTAAAAAAGGACAGCAGTTTTTCTGGGACTAGAAGCATCAATATCCACCTGGGAACTTGACCTCAACGAAGACCTACTGAATCAGAAAATCTGGGGGTTCTCACACAAATATTGAGGGGTCTCATTCAATAAACATACACTGTCTATGTTCCAAGCACTATATGAAGTACTAAGGTTATATAAACAAACTAGATAGAACCCACATGCACAGAAAAACTCACTACCCTCCAGCTATATCTCCACCTGGAAGAACCCACAGGTATGTCTCCTGGCCTGGGATTTTCTACTGGACTAAGAATATTCACTTACTACACTTGAGCTGAAAACAGAGTTGTCAAATGATCCTGCCATTTTTGACTAATCATCAGAGCCGTGTCCTGAATTTAATAAATATGACTGGTATTTTTTTTTCCTGATGATACATTGATGTTCAGTCCTAAGTAAACTAGGACAAAGGAAATAAATATAGTGGCGATGGAGAAAAATCAGTATTTCAGCAGATGAATGGATAAGGTGCCAAAAAGAGAGACAAAATTATGTGTAACATTTACTTTTCAGTTACTTAACTAATTTTCTGATTGTTCCCTCCTCTCCTTCCTGAAGAACAACCAAAAACATGGCTAATAAAAATGCTAAAAAATAAAAATAATTGAGCTAATTTCACTTTAAATAAGTTAAATGATTCATTCTTTGCTAAAGAAGTATGAAGTCTGCCAGGGAGAAGGAAAAGAACTCAGTGTGGTGACTGCAGTCCTCCAAGACTAGAGGATTTATCTTTATCCTCATACTGTCAAAGTACACACATAGCACATTTTATGAAAACGATGTCAACCCACTGATTTTGAACCCTCCGTGTTTACCTAGCAGCCCTGGTGGCACAGTGGTTAAGAGCTCAGCTGTTAACCAAAAGGTCAGCAGTTCAAATCCACCAGCCACTTCTTAGAAACTCTATGGGGCAGTTCTGCTCTGTCCCATAGGGTTGCTACGAGTTGGAATCAACTCGACAGCAGCAGGTTTGGTGTTTTGTTTTTTTGTTGTTTACCTAATCTTGTACAATTCTAGCTTCCTATTTGGTGGGATAACAATCAGACAATTAGCGGGTGATCAAGAAGTTTTATATTTTCTTCCTTTGATATCCGACTACTTATCAAAACAGATATCAAATGTACATTAAAATAACATTGTCTGTGTCATTTTGGGAAAAAAAGTGATGCTGAAGAATGCATACATTTGGACAACTCCTCTTGCTGTATGAAATGAATTTCCAAAAATCTCGACGTCAAGCAAACCAACTTACCTTCGAAGGTGGAGAAAAGCTGTGTAACACTGTTTACGAAACTCTTGGTACTGCTCGCTCTGTGTGCCCCCCATGCCTTCCACCATTTCTTTATTCAGCTTCATTGGAGGAGGAAGAGGCTTCGGATCTCGACCCAAAATATATCCAAAGTCTATGTGGAAGAGTTTGCCTGGATGTTGACAAGAAACTCATTTGTTTCAAGAATTATCTTAGAGAAAAACTGGGAGGGGGACATGTCATACAATTGCCATAAGCAGTGCCCCTTCATAAAGAGTACTAGAGATCATGATAAAGCCTATTAAAATGCTTGATTCTCTAACCTCAGCAGTGGGAGTGGCCTTCAGAGCATATCCCAGTTCATTTTAATTCACATTCATTCAAATGACGCTGTGCTTAAAATCATCATTGTAATGTTAATTTTAAATTTTAAATCTTATTTTTAGATCTCTAGAATCAAATCAAAATTTGGACCACTTTTTAAGATAAAAGCAGAAATTAGTATCTTGTAGCAAATATCTCATGCTAAAGTTTAAGTGAGTGTCCTTCATATAGGGGAAAACCATTACTTTTATTTAACTGCTCCTCAGACTAATCCTTCCTTTAATTTACCACTATTTAAAAAAAAAAAAATCCCAAATTTCAAATTATATTGTGAGCTTCATCTGAACCATTTTCAACTTACCTGTGCCATTCATTAGTTGCAAACTAGGAAAGCAACCAAAGTATTCACATCAGCCAAGAAATGAATACAGCTGCAGCACTCATTATGAGAAACACTACAGCAGTAACTCAATTAAGAAAACAGATATGCAAGAATGCGATAATTCATCTCATAAAATGATTTACCTTAGATTGCATAAAATATCTTACGATTTACAAGTAGGTATAAAGTAGGAATCTATTTTAACACATCTGTTATGGACTGAATACCGCCCCCCCCCGCCCAAAATATGTGTTCTAAATCCTAACCCTTACACCTGTGGTTATAATCTTATTTGGGAATGGGTTTTCTTTGCTATATTAATGAGGCAGTATTCGTGTAGGATCTGTCTGAAATCAATCACTTTTGAGATAGGAAAGAGACTAAGCAAGCGAGAGGCAGAGATGGGGGGAGAGAGATGCCAACCCATGAAGATCACTTAGGAGCAGAAGCTCAAAAGAGACAAGGACCTTCCTCCAAAGCCGACAGAGACAGAAAGCCTTCTCCTAGAGCTGGCACCCTGAATTTGGGCTTCTAGCCACCTAAACTGTGAGAAAATAAATTTCTGTTTGCTAAAGCCACACATCTGTGGTATTTCTGTTACAGCGGCACTAAATAACTAAGACAACACTTCACAGATCCTACAATCCAAGCTTCACCAAAGCAGGGATTTACGTCTATTTTGTGCATTGCTGTAACCCCAGTCCCAGAATAGTTTCCGGTACATAACAGGCGCTCACTGTTGAAGAAATAAATATATTTTAAAAAGCCAACAAAAAAACTCCCTAGTACAACCTGCCTACGCTCGTTTGTCTTATAATACATTATCACCTGTTTCATGTGGAAACTCATCCTCCATCTTGTGTTTGGGAAGATTACTGTCTTTGTCTGAAAGCACCAGCCAAAACCTTTGCTTCTCAAAGTGAATTTACTGAGTCTATGGACACTTCTAGCATCTTGCAAAGTATTTTTACCTATTGACTCTATCCATTACAATGCAGGCTACACCTTCTATCTCTTGCATTATGACTGTTATCTATGAACTTTATACTCCATCATTAC